ATATTTTTCCTAAAACATAGAACAGTAAAGCAAACAATTATCTCTTCTAATTACGACCTTTGTACTTGGTTGCTGCTTGACATAGGTTGCTAAGCTTTAAAAAATTTGCACGTGGAGGACATGAAACAAAATATGAAATTTCAAGCAGACTAAAGACGCACCCTACTTTATTGAAATATTGGTTCAAAAGAAAGAAATGGTGCCAAGTTCGTTGAAATGGCTGAGAGAGCCACTAGGGGGACATTTTGAGCTTCCGATTGGTTATTCATGTCATATATAGAAGTTGTATATAAGGGAGCATTTCCAAAAATGGAAAGAGGTGGGCAGGGTGCCACTGTTTGATTTATTACATGAGCAATATTTTAGCAAATTGAAAAGATAAGAGGCTCTTATTTTATATTCTAAGTTGTCAATATCAGTAATTTGAGTTTCTAATTTGTATGAAACTACAGACTTTTTGACTTCACAAACATCTAATTTGAACCAGTGCTGCATTCAACATACCACGTGTCACACAAAAATCGATGTTTATCTGTGTTTTTTATATTGGCTTTTAAATTAAGAAATTGAATAATATATAGTACGAAAATTTGAATTATAATCTACAGTTTGATACCAAAGATATTGACATAAATTCATGAAATAGTACTTCAATAAAATTTTAAATGCAAGTCAACAAACAAGATGACATGGCCTTTCACCCATGACCTGTCTCGAAAAGGTTAAACCATAACTTTTGTATTAATATCAAATGTGTTAACAGTAATGTTGAGTCTTTCCTTATAACATTGAATGTCTGTTGTCATTATGGACAGATCCAACTTAAAACATTCTTTCATTAGATAAGTCAAATAATATGAGCAAAGACCCAAAAACCCTATAACATTTGTATAAACATCAAGTATACTCACAGTAAAGTTAAATCTCTCCTTATAATATTGAATGTCTGTTCTTATTATGAATGGACTCTATTAAAACATCCTTTTATTAAATAAGTGAAATAATATGAGTAAAGACCCAGAAATCCTAAATCTTTTGTATATTTTTGATGATGAAAGCTAGCATTGGTCCCTTTTTCCACCAAGCTCATGTTAAGCACATGGCACTGAAACAGCTTGTAGTTCTTTAGTTTCAGTTTATTATTTTGTTTTTCTTCGTCCCTCAAACAATTACAGCAAATCACCTTAAACATCTCTAAAATCTTCCAAATGGTGAAGATATCGTCAAGATATTTCATTGTAAGACAGCTAGAAAACACTAAAGTTTAACAAAAAATAAGTGGGGTTCATAGCTTGCTATAAATTGTGTATCTTTTCCAAGTTCTTGTGTACATGTATCTCTACCTGTCAGTAACCACTCTCAAGACTCAAGGTTAAAAGCTATGAAATCTGGAAATCACTAAGGGTAGATACAATTCTTTGTAGAGGATAAGCATCTCTCCAGTAAAACACAAAGAATTGGGTGAATCCAACCTTCTTCTTTAGAAGAACATTGGGTATTACTCAAGAAACTTTGCTTCAATCTCATACTTCCTCTCCTCACATTGAATTTTTCTCCTTACAGAATTGATTAGCAAATACCTCTAATTGCCCAGCTGTACCTTTTGATTGTGTATGCCATAGTTTCTTTGATATAATTTATATATTTCTTATTTTACAATGCAGTACTCATTACTATCCTTGTTAGCTACATCTTCTTCTTCCTTTTTTTTTTGGTTAAATAAAGTGTTTTATTTTATTCTGATTTAATACCATGTCTTGTCTCTCATTTCACCTGTAACAAATCTAGTTTTTACGAAGGTCAAGTTCAGTCTTGAGATTACCAAAAAGAAGAAGATATTTACACCATTATCTGTGTTTCAGATGAAAAATTTTTAAAATAATATTTATACAAAGTTTTGTGCATGTACTTAAGGGTGGCATAGTTTCCCAAAATTTGAAAAGTTCTTTTAGTTGTGTTATTAACATATAAAAATAATTCCTTATCCCTGGTTCAGTAAAACTTTCTGATAAAATCAAAGTCAAAATTATTGTAACTTACAGAATTAACAGTTAATAGCTGGTATCTAGTTTTTTAATATAGAGTTGTCTTTAGTGTATATTAGTTATTGCTTATTAAAATTCATCCTCAAGTCGATATTTTCAGTCATGATCTAGTTCTATAAGAGGTTTATACATTTTTATTGCTTTTTTTTACCTCATTTTTAGGTTGAAATTATCCAAGGACTTTCAGCTTTAAGTGCTACATTGCATAATCCAGAAGAGGTGAGTACAATTTTATGTTGTGTACATTATTTTTCATTTACTTGAAATTGCATATTTTTAGTGTATTTCTATATATGTATACAGCTGAATCACGAGTATACTTTTTGTTCTTGTCAAAGTGAGTGTGTACCTATTAAAACAAGATTCTTAGTTTATTATTTGAAGGTTGAATCACATCCTGTGATAGTAGAAAAAATCTTTAACATGCATTGAGATGCCACAGAAAGAATATTGTTCATGTGACATCTCTAATAATCAACCTTCCACTTAAATCATACATTTTTCACTTTAGTAAGGAGTATTCTTTGTAATGATAAACTTCCATTACATTTTTTTTTATGTACTAATGAAATATTTATTTTCTCCCATTGATGTGTATATAGCATTACCATTAAAGACATTATTTTTTCCCCCCATTGAATTAGTTTTGTACATAGGTATGCAAGACTTTGATTGAGTTTTTGTGATCTGTGTTTAGATTTTTTAGATGATATTTTTTTTTCACTTATATTTACATGTATCTAAGTTGTAATTTTTTTGGGTTGTTCTAAGTGAATTTCAATGAGTTTTATCTTTATTTGTATCTGTCTGAAACTTTATGAGTTCTTCTGTTTGTTTTGATGGTAGTTAAAAAACTTGATAGCTTTTCCTGAAGCATCTGTTTGTTTTTAGTTAAATTCTCTTTCAGTTGAGTCTTTCCAATATCATGCATGAATCCAGTCTTCTTTACTTACCTTTTATATTTCCTTAGATTAAAATGAAATAACATCAATATGATTCTTTGGGTTTATAATTTCTTGTAATAAACTAGCATAATTGAATCTTTTCTTATGATGATGTAGCATAACTAAATTTTGTCTAATTGTTTTTTAGATCACCACTCAGGGAATTGAACTGGCTCTAAACATTACCAAAAGAGCTCATACAAAATTCAATTTATATTGTAACAACAGCCAGCTACCATGCTCTGATGCATCCATTATGACAGTTTTGGCAGAGTTGATTCATGCTGCTTCACACTGTAACATACACAACAAACTTAATGAAGAAGAAGTAACACTGAAACATTTGGTTTCTAGTGCACAGCATCTTCTTTACCATAGACTGAAGGTAACAAGATACTGAAATGCCATTAGAATCTTCTACATAAGGCAAAAAACTTTTGTGTTTTCAAAACATTTGAGGTTTAATTTATATTAATAATCATTATCCTTCAAGTTGAGTTTTTATTTTGTCAAATTTAAAAATTATCTCATTTAATCCTATACTAGTAAAATGAAAATTAAAGTTAGACAATCTATATAAAAAACTCCTCGTTGTTTTGTCTTTTATCCTGTACAGTAAGTTGTTTAGCATTTTAGTGTAACTTTTGGGACTCATTTTTAGAATTGTGCACAAAAAATCATTGTTTTATTAAAAAGTGAGTTTTTTAATATTGAGCATTACAAAAGCACCAATGTATTTTAACACTAGACAGTCTTGTTTAAATTTACCAAGTTTAACGCATAAAATACGATAGACAACTAATAAAACTTAAACACATATGAAGTCCTTTTTGTTGGTATTTTTTATCATCTGTTTATCTGATTATTCTTCAGAATTTTATATTTTTATCTTTGCATGATGTGTGTTTTTTCATACCGTGTGTATTTAAATGTTGCAATTCACAAAACCTGGTGATAAAACGTGATTACCAGAAAGTTTGAAAAATCATGAATATAGATATGCTTTAAATGATGTTTTATCAAAAAAGCTAGTTTTTGTCTGTAAACATAGCTATAAATACTGTCCATTTTTTCACAATAGTTTAAAAAGTTTTAAGCAGTTAATTACTCGTGATATTCTCAAAATTTGAATAGAAAGAATAACTAAATGTGAAACTTAAAAACTATATTGCTTAATTATGTGTTTAGCATATGGAAAACAAATGATTTCCTTCAAATTGTATAATGATGAGAGAACTATCAAATTTGCTAGCATCTGCTTTACAAAATATAAGCTTAGATATTTTTAAAGCTACTTCCCACCAGTGGCCTTTGAAATAAAAATATCAAAACTCTTGGAATATGACCAAATGACAGAGGATTTGTTTTCTTACTACTTGGATTCAAGGCTGAAGTAACATTGCAAAACTGAGTATTTAATAAAATGAACAATGTGGGGGAGACGACATGTATTAAAACATTAACTTGTTTGTGTGTACTTATTTCTCAAGTCACTTGGTTATTATTTAAAGATATGAAACATATAAATATGTTTTTTTAATGCTAAAGTATGTTTTACTTAAAATAATTCAGGAACATCTTCGGAGCCTAGTGCCTTATGAAGAACCCTACACTTTTACTTCTCCAAGGTTGTCAACATTGTGTGGTCATCTCTGGCTTGATCATGTAGATCCTGTTGTTTTGCACATTGGACAAACTCAGTTGGCCATATCTGCTGTCCTCTTTCATCAGCTTGTCAATAGGTATTAATTAAATGTGCTTTTTTTCTTTACTATGTGATTTGGAATCTACTTCTTGTATAAAAACTTTTATTTAAGAGTACGTGTAAAGCTTTTCTCATCAGCATGTGCATAAGATAATTGTTGCATTTGAACTCATTGCACACTTTTAAATATATATATCAGGTTTCATTTTCTTTGAATTTTCTCCTGCTTATATGTGTGTGTTTGCATTAATACTTACGTATATACACACACCTTAAAAATATTGTCTATCTTTTTCCCACAAATTATGGATAAGAACAAGTTCTTTGCTGTGAATAAAATTTTGTGTATCTAATTCCTTTGATAGACCGAAGATACTGCATTGTACAGCCTTTTTCATAGAAGACTACAACTTCAGCCCATTCTTTACTCGGAGAAGTGGAGAAGAGCCAGAAAAAGTTGTCATTTTGTCATTATTCAAGTGTGGTGAAAGCAAGGAACTTGTTTTACCGAACAAAACACAACAAGAGAATTCACTTTTAACTGTCCAGTTCCCTAAAATGAATAAGGAAAATAAGGTTAGTTAATCATATTTTTCAAGTGGTCATAAACATTTTTTTCTTTATGAGCTTTATTAAAAATTTTTCAAAATATGAAATATTGTGTGAAATTTAAGCAAAAGAAAAGGAAATTTAACAAAGGTAAAAAAAGGAGTTAAATCAAATAACAGTATACATTGAAGAATAGTATATCTGTAGATATCTAGACCTGGTTTCTGACTGTTATAAGTAAGAACTTGCACCAGAACTACAGTCTTTACAGTAAAATGTAACAAAGAAAATGTTTTGTGATGCATTATACTATTATTAAAAAAAAAGCACAAAGAATTGAAATATAAGGGAGCAAGAGAACCCTTTAGAAAGACCTCAAACTCTTTAAAAAATGCCCTTTTTGTTTTCATATTATAGTGTATTAGGCATAAATTTACAAGCTGAAAAAAAAGTGACCTTGATTAATAGTAACCATTAGAATACTAAAAACAAAAGCTATATTATTCTGTTGTATTTCAAGATGTATAAAGATAAAGGATAGACGTTCTTCTTTATTAAATTTTAAAGATAACAACTACACTTTTTCTTTATAATATTATAAAGATAAAGTGTATGTTTTATTCTTTAGTAAATTTTAATGGGCACTGTTACGTTTATGTTTTCTGTTTTAACATCACAGTAAATTTAAGGTTGAGGCACATTTGTCTAAATGTTTTTACAATGACCTAGAATTCATAGAGAAATAAATAATAAACTAGAACATGCTTTTTTATGTGGTAAATCCAAAATGTTTATAAGTTAAATGAAGTTAAGAGGTATTGCAATATTTTTTCCTCATTACAAATTTTCTCTGATATTTATTAGTTAACTGCAATTTTTAATTGTTTTTTATGATGTTTACAACTATGTTATTGTAGTATTCGTGTAAACCTTATCTGCCTTTAAATGTGCTAAATTTGATCTTTAGCTTTTTATAACAAAAAATAGCATAATTTCTTTAAAATACCAAAATACCTAATATTCACAAAAAGAAGTAATGATAGATACAGCATTATTAAAGGTTAATTGCTAAAATTTTAATAAAATAATTGTTGTTTTTTACAACAAGTGGGTAAAAAAAGCTTTATACTTTTTTAAGCTCAATATTATAAACTGTGAAAGATTTTGTGGCTTTACATTATTATGGAAACAGTGAATATAATTAATATAAAATGAAAATATTATGGGATACTCCCCATCTATGAAAATAAACGGCATTCAAGTGCAGTCATGTTGATAACTTACATTGTGATTAGCTGTCATCCAATCAATCAGACAGTGCCACTCAATTATAATGCCTATAAGAGTAAAGGCATTCAAACTATTCTCAGTAGTAGTGTGTAATTCACTCATGGCTACCAGACAGAAATTACATATGACAAATGTGTAAAAAGTTACTCCATTTGACAGATTGAGGCAAAGTTTCATGTTTCAGTAAGAGCTGTGTGAAAATTCTGTAAAAAAGTATATGAAGCTAGTACTGTTGATAATAGAAGCAGCCAAGCTGGAAATCCCACTTTCTTTCATAAATGATGCTAAACAACTCGGGGTATGGTATTTAACCCTCCTTCCCTGGGTACCCTTTACTGCG